CGCACGAGCCAATACAAGCTCCACTACTACGAAACTCCGACCAACATCAAGTTCGTCATGCTGACGGACCTCAAGAGTCCAAACATGCGTGTTGCTTTGCAGCAGATCTACATCAATCTCTACGTCGAATACGGTACGCTCTGGCTTAGCTTACGACGATGACTCTCTGGACAGCCGTACGCTGACCACCTCTACTTCTAGTGGTCAAGAACCCGTTATCTCCCGCCGAGCATCCAGGTGGTATTGGAGTGAATAACGAGCTCTTTGAAGAGTCTCTGGAGCAGTTCGTGGTATGTGCTTTCATCGTTGTCTAGTTGGATGTCATCTAACCGATAGCAGACTCGGGTTCTATCGTGAAACCGACTTGAAAATCCATTAACACTCTATTCGCTCATGGATCTGAGCCGAAGCGAGCCCCAAGCTTAATTGTCAAGCTTCCGCAAACAAGCATCCATGCGATAGCGGGATCAGCCCCTCCTGCATCCCTATGACCTCAAGAGTGCCGTCGTGCAGCAACGGTCCGGTGCGGCGGAGGCCTTCCCCGGCGTCCCTTACTGTCAACTGTCGACACATGTCACAGGTCCGTTACTCGAGCCACAAGCGTTAAAGCTACATAAGCCCATTGCTCGCAGACCTGACTTAAACCCGACACCGGGCCGCGTCCGGCACGGACAGCGACCAAGCCAGGACCAGGCACAAACTCTTGGTCAGTATGGGACAAACGAATTTATGACTTGACGTCTTATCATTATATAATATCCAAAAATGAAACATTGAGAGCGTACATATTCTCCCAGAGATAATTTACACATATCACATAATTATCCAAATCAACCATAATTATAAAAACAAAACCACAACATCATAATTCATACACCCTTCCCATCATTCACAATATGGAAGACGTGCACAATCAAGCATACCGAGTACTCGAAGTCCCCACATTGCCATACAACACCTCATCCGGCAACTCATCCTCATCAGGACCCTCATTATACTGGTTCCGAGTCTGCGGCTTCGCGCCCCTCGTCCTTCCCTGGATCACATTACTTTGATCAATCGCCTCGTCTTCATCTTGAGCTGTACAAACAAGCAGATTCGTTAGCACCTAGTCCTTTACACACAACACATAATCAATTTAATACAGTATGGGAGGGGGTGACATACCAAGCTGCTGATCCGTATTCGAATAAGGCGGCTGCATCGGATCCTCATAGATATCATCATCCCGAGTCACAGGGACCTGGTTCCTCAGACCCGATCGCGTCTCGTGTGCGTACGAGTTATCCCGGTAGGTGCCAGATACCGGGGACGGGTCGTTCTCGGCCTCGTAGAGGTCTTCGGCTTGACGTTCGTATTGGTTGGACATTTTGGTTGTTGTTGCTGCGTAGCTCTTTTAGCTTGGGATGGGTTGATTTGGTAGATTGGTTGGTTGGGGATATAGCTTGAGATAGGCATAGCTATTCAGTAGTGATTAAATGGGGTATTTATAGTTGGTTCTATATGGTGATGGAGGGTTGATGCAAGATTGATGTCAGGTTGATGGGGATGAAAGATTGGGTTTGGGTTTAGGTTTGGGGAAGATGTCATTTAATTCATTGTTGCTATTCTTTGCTTTTGATGTCAAGACTCTGCTTGGGGGTGGGGGGTATAGTATCTATTGAGTGCTGTTGCTGCTGCTGTACTACTACAGATTGGTAGGTCATCGTGAGAGGGATGAGGTGATTGATTGTGGGGATAGTGATGGTGATGGTGTCACGATAGGCTTTCAATCGTCATCTTTGGATAACAGTACACTGTAGATGTATGGAGCCAATTGTCTAAGGCAGCCATGCTGTGTTCAGTCAGTCCCTGTTGCTACTGCTGCGCAGTTAGTTTGTATACACATGGTAGGGCTGGTTCGGCTGCAGCGGGCGACCCAGACATAGTAACCCCCAAATAGCAAATCAGCATCAAAGCCAACGGCTCCCACGAAAGGGAAACCTCAAAGCTCTAGAAGCTACATGTTGATTCAATATCATCTCAACCACAGATGAGCTCAAACGGCGGGCATGACATCGCCCTTGACTCACGGTGAAGTAATTCGCCACGGCCTGGCCAGACCTTTTGCTCGCTCACTCACTCGCCGCCGCCGCCGCCGCCATCCTTTTTCCATCAGGTCCTATCGGTGTGAACCCGTGTTTCTCGGTGTTCCTGGGCTTTTTGCTGATGAGGGATTTGAAAGACACCAATGGCGGCATTCCCGGAGGAGACGTGACGGGATATGGTGTTGTTGTTCGCTGCCTTCCCTTCTCCCGTTGATGGCCGCTAACTATATGTGCCTTACCTAATCCATTCCATCGAACCAGGTCTGTGTGTATGTACACACACGATAAGAGATCTCCATTATGACCCTATTTTTAATTCCAGAAATGCTATTTGGCATGGTTCATCTGACTGTTTCCTTCCTTCCTTTCGCGCGAGGATAACCGAAGAGGGAGAAGAGAGAAGCAGGCTGTGTACAACGGGTCGGCTTAAGCCGTGCGCCAGAACACGAGTTGTGCTTGTGCCAAGTAAGCTCAGCTCTCGCAGCGAGTGAGTGACTCACGGGGCGATCAACTTAAAAAAAAAAAAAATATTGATGAAGATCGGTCAGAGGCACTTGGGCTGTTTCTGGTCTGCACAGCACGGGCAGCTTGGCTGTTTTCCTTTTTTCACTTTCGCAGGATGAGAGAGAGAAAGCCAAGTCTATACCCGGTCTCTTGGCAGGTGGGCTTTGTTGTTTTCGTCACGGATTTGCTGGACAAACTTGAATCGGAGCGCGAGCATCATGTCAAGTCAGTCGGGGAGTCGGAAAGAAACGCATACATATGAAGGCGATGGTCCGAGATGTTAGAACTGTTCAGTTCCTTTCAGTCTCAAGTGTCTCTTCTCCGCATGATCAAGATTTATGTCTCCGATTACAATCAGCTGATACTTCGACATGAGGATGTGCCGTGTTGCCGGGCATATGTGCGACTTGTCCTTTTGAGTGTCATACTAACTTAGTAGTAATAGTAGTTGACTAGTCAATTAGCTGGTTAAGATTAGGCAAGTTAGCAGATAGTTAGTTGGGCATATACATCGATCCTGACAAAGCAGCAGCAGCAGCAGCAGCAGTTGTCCGATCGTCGGGCAAAGGAAGGGCAGGCAATTCCGGGAGTTGCTGCAGTCAGTCCCACACCGTCCTTCATGTAAAGTTCCAAATCCACAGCCATTGCAGTATCTTGTAAATCGATAGATATAGGGAGAAATGGAAGCAGCAGCAGCAGCAGCAGCAGCAGCTTAATCTGCCTCGGGAAAGGAACACGCGGATGCGACGAAAAGCTTGAACCGGCTTACCCGTCCAGTCATTCGCTTCTCTTCGGCTAGTTTACGTGGAGAGGGATCCTAGAAAGAGGAGGACCAGCAAACTAAACAGTTAACTTCCCCACTGCTACCGGAATCCGGGCGAATAAACCCGCATCCCAAGCCACCACTGACTCCATTCTCGTCGCTGTTGGATTATGAACGTTGGGTTGGACGGGGTGCGCGGAGTCCGTGTGCCTGTGAAGTCATATCCCGCAATGGAATGTCCAACCAGGGGGAAGATGGAGGGAGGAGGGGAAGATCGTCTTTGGAGATACGAAAGCAAGAAGCAAGCAAGTAAGCATTGTAGTTAGGTAGAGATAACAGTTGGAGATGTGAGTAGCTGTAGCTCAGGTTTCTGCTGCTGGTTTATGCTGCATTTTCCTGCTGAATAGAACTAATTGTATGGATCGCAAGGACCACCTCTTCTCAGTGTTTCTACTAGGTACCCTAGCTACAGGGTGACTGACAGGATGGTTGATCACCATGCGGTGGCTGTCTGGATCCCGCATATTGGAGGGGGCAGGAGGGGAGGAAATACGGAGCAAAGCACCCATGACGATGAAATTAAGGATGTCCGGGGATCCATTTCGTTATCATCATACCACATGGCAAGTTACTCTTTCCCGCCACAGAATGGTTCAGCCCGCAATTGATCGCTGGTCCTGGATTGGATCTTCACCATACTTTACAGGGAAGGTAGAGAGAGAGAGAGAGGGGGGGGGGGAGGGAAGAAGAGGAAAGAAGAGAAGGGTAGCGAACAGCACCCGTATTTGGCATTACGAGGACCCCGGCGTCTTGTTGACTGGCATTATTATCCCCGTCATCGGGATCCATGTTCATGTTCATCAATCGGGTGGCGGTCGCCTGTCTAGCAGTTTCGATCATCCCATCAGTGCGCGCAGGGGAAACGACAAGGGCTGAAAAGCATGGATGGATTATTCCCTTATGGTTTCCGCGGGATGAAATGGAAATAAAATGAAATGAAATGATGGGGTTGTCTGATCGGAATACTAGCGGTCAACCAAGAGCTGTCTCTCTTTTCTCCTCTCTTACTAGATAGATACCTAGTAGTTAGATGCCTACTAATTCCGTAGATACCTAGGTTTCACTACCTGACAGGCTTAGGCTTTAGCTTTAGCTTTGGCATTGTTTCTTTTCTTTTCCCGTAGTAATAACAAATACCATGCCATATTGTCATCGATTTGGCCGACGGTGGTGCCCAAGTCAACTCAGACAGACTCTGTTTCCCCTGCTACTAACTAAGTCCGTTTCTACCCTAGTCCGGAGTACTCCGGACTTATTCTCCATCTTTGTATCCATAACCAGGCTGGGGTTCGGCCGGGTCTTTTTCGGCAGGAGGAGAAGGAGAGGAAAAAGATGAGGAGGAGGAGGAGGAGGAGGAGGAGGAGGAGGAGGAGGAAGTAAGAAACAGCACTAGTTTGCACGCGTACCTCATCCGTATCCATGGAACAAACATCCACATCCACTCGTGGGTATTTCTTAGCCGGAAACCGTATCGGAAAGCGGTTGTTCCTCGTTTCCGAATGTTCGTTCATTTTTCCTCGTGGAATTTTCCCCTCCCCAACTATGATTGCCAGTTCAACTTTCTTCAGTTAGTAGTAGTACTACTCCTAAGTAGTACCTACACAGTAGTAGTCTTTGATTATGCTTTCTCGTTTATCACTTACTTTTCTGTTTTCTTGCCTCTGATCAGTAAACTGATTGACCAAATGATGATTATAACCATTTATAGCAAGTAAGCTGGCTGGCGATACGATGCCGAGCTGTTCATTCACCTTTTTGCTTTTTGGTCGCGCCCGCAGATGTATGCAGCCGAAGCCAGGGTTGATCCCACCAAATCATCCATGGGTTTTATCAGCGATCCGGTCCAAATCACAATCAACTACTGCATCTTCTAACGTACGGAAGATGTGGCCTCACTTCCGTAGATTGCTGATATTCCATCGTCCCATCGAGATTGGACTGCAAAGCTATACGTAGTAGTTGTAATTACCAAAAAAAAAAAAAAAAAAAAAAAAAAAAAAAAAAAAAAAAAAAAAAAAAAGCAAGCTGTAGCTCTTGCAGCTGCTTAGGTCTAGCTCATGGAAGATCCAGAGCTCAGCTCTCTCTCTCTTCCTCTTTCCCTCTTTCTCTTACTGGCGAGAAACTGGATAGTATCTCTGTCTCACACACGCACCAAGCTGGATCGGTACACCGTCACATCCCCCACTGGCGGGGACATCTTCAAGATGGAGCCCTTGCCCGGGTTTCAGTAGAAAAATTAGGGTACGTACTATCTATACACCGGATTGCAAAACCGGGGAGGAAGGGGAAATATTAAGACTAACCGTGAATGAATCAGTGATTAAATTCCAATACTTAGCTTTCCACCATGACTCGGCCAGGTTTAGTGTCCTTGGACTAGTAATGTAGACAAGACATGAGAGTCCTCGGAACCGACCCACTCGGTGTGGTGCATCCCATCCCACTTGGAGCTGCATCGCGGACTGGACAATCATGCTAATTTCGACGGGACCGTTTTTCTCCCTTTCTTCTCTCGTTGGATCGCTCTTCCTATCATTGGCTGGGAAAAATCCCTCGTGCTAATTGAATCTGAACGCGATCCGTCCACCGTGTGTGTTCCCGTCGATACATCATGCAGTAGTGGAGAGGAGAAGGGGAAAAAATGAATAATGGACAAAAGAAAAAAGCATGGGGCTTCCGCCGCACCTTCAACTTATTCCTCTTCCTCTCCCTCTCCATATCCACTGGATAATATCCTGCCACCCGGAACACGGGTACTGGTGGTAGATGGTGGATCCGATAAGTGGTCGATACTGCGTGTTCTGTAGGGAGTGAGGAGGAGTGTAAACTGTGTGTAACTAGCAGTAACTGGTATGGTGTCGAGTTAGCTCCTGCAGGCCATTTCACTCCCCTTCTTCTGCCCCCAACTTTTAGTTAGTCTAGCCTCGTCGCGTGGGAACTTCAAAGCTCCAAATCTCTCTGTGTGTGGATGTTCGCGTTCGTACTACCCTGGGTGGAACAATCCCGGCAAGCGACAATAGCCCCATTGCGAGACATTTGTTTGCCCAACAAGATGAGACGCTATCTTAGCTCTCCGTAAGTCACTACTAAGTACTGACAAGTCGGTTCGATGGAGCAAGCAGCTTGCTAGGTATGCCCATGGAGCATGCTGGTTATCAGCGGATCTCCGCAAATCAACATCCGGGCTATGTGTTTGACATGGGTCAGGGTGGTGGCTGTCAATCCATTAACCCTCCCTACCTTCCTTTGCCCACTGCACTAATACCCAGTCAGCTACACAGTAGTAGTACTCCGTACCCTCCTCTAAATCGTAGTTAGGTCCGCCAACCTAATACCTTTACGACCGAGGTCCGGTGCAGCTGTTCATGGGAAACCCACGTCATTGCAACCTTTTAGCGCACTGGTGGATATCGCCTTTCGTTCAGTCGCGACAAGCCGGAAGACATCGCTAGCCCGTCCGCATAATAGCAGAAGTGTCTGTTGCAATAATACACATCCGAGTGGTCGCCAGGTAATAGTAGCGCTGCAGATGATTACCCTGCTTTCTGAGATACAAATGATGGACATGCTCGGCAGAGCAATGACCGCTAGACGGCTTGAGAGTTACTTGACTTGCACCCTATAGTTGCTTGTTTAAAGCGTTTGGGGGTACGAGAGGCGGCGACCGACTCGGCCTGGCCTGCTGCTGCTCCTCCTTCTCAATCAGCTCCAGAAACAATATGAGGTTTGATAACTTTCGATATCCGTTCGCCCTTGAAGTTTGGACCCTGCTGACCTTGCCCCCCCACGGGACAATTCGAGTCTCTGACACCCAAATGGAGGTATGTGCATCGAGGAAAGTTGCCTCCATCGCAGACTAAGGAAAAGGCTCCGGAGGTCAAGAGGTTAGGAAAGAAACGGAGAGTCATTCCTTCATCTAATCACAGGCTAAGGACACATCCAAGTAAGGGGCCTTCAAAGACAGATGCTACCTTTCTGCGGGTCAAGAATAGAACCCGTTGGCTAGAAGCACCGCCATTACCAGCAGGTGGTCCAGACAATAAAAAGTAGTATGTAAGTATAAATGAAGGACCATGTAGCACCTTCCATTATTGGCGCGGGGAGCTGTTTTGATAACATCATACATATCTAGTATGATAGTAGTAGTGGTAGCATATGCTGAATACTAGCATCGGTGCCACCGAGAGGGCATCCAGCCCACCTACCCAACTAAGTAATAGCAGTGGCTGTATTTCCCGTCTGGTTTAGTGGCACTTGAACTACTACTAGCGACCCTCTGCCCCTCAACGATTGTCATAAAAGACTCTGCAGGATCGCATGAGATTAAGCAGACACTACATGGCCAGCTGTAGGCAGACAAGATATATGCTTGGCATAAGTGTGCGCGCGCACCAGAAATGGGGTCATAGATGGAGAAGGAGGCCACCGTGAAATGCAACCAACGACTGGTGGATGATTCCCCCCCTTTGAAGGGGGTCAAGAGGGTTCAAGTTGGCCGCTAACCAGAGTATTCGCTCTGGTGTAGTCCACTTAATTGATTTACTTCACCTGTGTGTGTTGTTTTGGATGGATGATTTACTTTTCTTGGGGGAAATGTTACCCCTCATGCGGGTAGCATGACCCTTGAGTAACTTACAAAGTAAGTGATGGGCTCTAACTAACTTATTAATTATCAGTCCATCACTAATCAGAGTCATACTTGAAGATGATGGTGGCTCCGCCCTGCCACGCTGGTGAGGAGCCGCCACACGAAGCTCCGGCCAAGGTTCTAGTTTTACTTCATACATACTAAATCACTAACTATTTTGTAATAGGTATTATTCGGAACCGTAATAGTATTGATAATACGCCAGGCATCCAACTCCTACCTACTACCTACTGACTAACTTACTATACTATATTGTACTATACTACTCGATACTAGTCGAACATCCGACCACTCGTGCTTCGAGCCAGTGAGCCACCCAAGCCATCGGTCCCCTCCCCCCATCCATGATGTGCGGGGACCGAGGGTTGGATTGAGGCTGTGCGGCATCTGCAGTGTTGTGATCCGAAAATTAAGGTCGTTCCGGAGTCAGTGACTAATCGCATCCTCGATACGGACAACGGCGATGACACAAACGTCATGATTTTGAGGGAGGGGGGAAGGGGAAAAGAGAATGTGCGAGACCAAGCGAGACCAAGCGCTGAGACTGGTCGCGAGGCGGACGTCATCCGACTGATTTTCGTGTAGCAAAATGAGGGGAAAGTCAAGCTGGTTTAGAAGAAAAGAGAAAGGTAGAGTGACAATCTGCAATCCCATCGGCTCTGGGACCCATTCACGTCGAAAAGGCAAAGTTGACAGTCGGTTACTTTCTTAACTAACATTGAGTGGTTGCGCGTAAATGACGACGGGACAACGAAGCAGTCGACTGGACATCGGGATCGCTAGCAAAAAAGCAACACAAGAGGAAGTGCTTAGTAGCTGATGAATGTGAACGCGGAAGCAGCCCCAGTAACGGAGTATTAGCTCCAAGGATCTTCCGAATTAATCTTACATCTTACAGCGGATGGAGACTTGGTCTTGCAGGACAGGAGAGCCCTCTCTTTTTTAAGAAAGCAGGTAAGTTGTCAGTCACTTAACTAGTACTGCTGGAGCAGAGACGCCCGCGCCACTGTGGTATTGTGACGGATTTACGGTTTAAGCACTACGTAGAATACTACTTGCTGCCCACATAACCAGGTACCCTAGTCACAGCTATTCTTCCACGCACAAATCTACTAGTTATCAGGATGTTATTCCAGAGGAACAAGTGTTGGTATAAAGAAATGCTTCATATGAAGTCATCAATCAATGAAGCCGATCAAATACAACTTGAATCGCAACCAAATACCTACATCGGAGACCAAAGTAGAATATTGTTCAGTGGAAACAAGTGTGGCTGCAACTGTATGATACCATACCGTTACAGTAACAGGAAGCCAACGCAGACCTGCGAACGGGAGGCGGTAGCGAGAGCCTTCTTCACCTTGATTTCATTATTATTGGTATTACTCGATGCTGACCCAAGCACGGAATTCCACTGGGGGAAGCACAAGAGAAAGACGGCCAACTGATTAGACTAGATCAAAGACTCGAGGGGGAGAGTGAGAGAGACACAGAGAGAGGGGGCTATCCTTTCTTCCACATGCGGTAACAACGGGAAAGTCCCTCATCTTTGTAACCTCAATCAGAGGCTTGTATCCATTCGAGGTCAACGCAGGTTCCCACAATTTGAAGATTATTAATAATATGTCCATAATTATAATAAAAGAAATGGCAGAATAATAAAATCATTCCATCCATCGAATGGGGGAAATAATTGAAAAAAAAAGACCTGCGGTTCCTTTAGGTAGCTGGAAGGAGAAAGAAGAGGGGACTGACTACTAACTAAGCAAGCCCACCCCCCCATAAGGTGCTCCTCAGCTAACTATTGCTTGGTTACTTCGACCACTGCCTCCATCATCCAGAGTTCTCATACTTCAGGTTAGGTTACCTGCCCGGCACCAACCTGCGACGCCCGCGGCGTACTACGGTACCAGTTAGGGTATTTCAACCTGGGCACCCCCGGTGGACTAGGCTGAGCCCTCTTCCCTCACTCTTCCCTATTCTCTTACGAGAGCCTTTCCCCCGGGGTAATTTTCATCAGCACAACAGCTGTTTTCCCTCCTGACTTTAGTGGAATTCGCAAGGCAACGAGCCAAGTCTTCTTTTAAGGACCCTAGTCTTGTCTGTACCGTTCCATCTGGGCATTCCCGTGCCTTGTTGCGCCGTGCATCGATTTTTTTTTTCTTTAAACTGAATTTTTCTTTTATTATTATTATTATTATTTCTTTTTCTGAATTTTTTATTTTTTCGCTGGTTCATTTTCCCTTTTCAATTTTGCCCACCCTTTGACTAAACAAAACGGAGGGGAAGGGAAAAGAAAAGGAAGAAAAAAAAAAAAGTCTTATTGTAATTTCCACAACCCAAAGTCACTTTCGTCACTCTAGAAGAACACAATCCCGTCGCCTCAGGCCACCACCACGACCGGCTGGGGCCACCGCAACTTTTTTCTCTCTTCCTCTCCCCCCGTTCCTCCCAACTTTCTTCTTCATCTCTCAATTTCTTTTCCATAGCCATTGTCGTTGGCCTTTGCAGCTTCGTGCTGTAGGCTTTTAATTTTCTTCCACCTTGTCACGGGGGGCATTCTTGTGCCTCTTTACCTCCGTGTACTTTTCATTTCTCACTACCGCACATGACTCCACAATCTGCTTCACCAGTACCTTCCGCAGTCTCCTCCACCACAGCGTCACAGATATCCTATGATTCCCGAGATGGAGAGCCCCAGGTAACACGTGCTTTAGCGGGCATGAATCTGTCCGCCGCGAACGGGGACGTCCTCCCCGTTCCTCCCACCCCCGCAAAGATCGCTAGACCTACCATGGCCAATCGCAT